CGGTCAGTCATCATGTCAACTGGTCGCTCCACTCGCTCCAAAGGGTCCTTCCAAGGGACTGGTCGATCTCTCTTCTCCCAGATTGCCTCAATAGCAGAAGCCACTGCCAATGGCAATGAAAGAGCATTGTTGGCGGTACAGGAAGAAATTGATGGGGCCGAAGATGACGAAGAGATTGTGGAGTTTACTCAACATAACAGTCATGGAACTGTACACTGGAGTCAAGCCACTGGTGCACTCACCTTGCAGAGTAATTCAGCTTCTTCCGCCGCAGCTGAAGACGATCAGAGTGAGCAATTGATGTTACCCTCTCAATCCGATTCTAGCGAGGATGAAGACGACCAAGGCTCTGGAAGCGAAGATGGCTCTCCCTTGCAACTCGCTCAGTCCTCTGCCGATTCTCCAGACGACAACTCCGACAAGGAAAACCACCCCACTTGCTCGCAATTTGAAAATGCCAGCCTCCTACTCCAACTTCGACCTCCAGCCGCAGTGGCAGCAAATCCACCACCGCCGCTCCCAGCCGAGCCAAAGCAAGCGCGGAAAATGAGACTTCGATCGGTGCACCAAGAGCAACAAGAGTCAAACCGTGCCGCCGCCCTTCATTCGTTTGATGATCGTTGGGAAAAACAAGATCGAGCTTTTGGCGAAATGGGTGAATGTATCACCAATTTCGACACGGAACCACAAGACGATCCTCAAGATCCAGTAGACGACACGCCAATTTTGATGGAACCAGAGCGGGACGAGGGACAGGATGGGGATGACGATCATTCCTCTTTTGCATCCACCGTTGGATCTCGTGGTAGCAAACGCAAAAGAGGCAAATCAAAGAAATCGCCCCGTCGCACCACCCATGAAGGAACTGGTTGTCCACTCGTAGGAAATGCTGGTGCCGTCTTGCCTCATCCGCCTCACCACCGTCAAAACCATCCTTTTGTGTCAGGCGCCGCCAAGAAACCGCAACCCAACCCTTACCAAAAGAAGCTCAAGTCTGTTCCTCGTCCCCTTCCCACTACTCGATCTCGATCCAGCAAGGCTCCACCGCCACCAGTCCCAGCCATTGATGAAATCGCACTGCCCGCGTTCACTCAAGATGAAAATGACATGATGGATTCCATTTGCAAAATGATGAACGAATCCAAGGACAAATTTGGAGACGATCAGGATCTTGTAGACAACTGCAAGAGAGGATCCAATACCAAGGAGACTGAAGCGCGCAAGGTGCATGCGGTGAATCGATTTGAACAGACAGTTCGCGAGATTGATCAACCTTGGGTCAAACCGATGCTCCAGATGGTCAATTGCCGATACCTTCAAGCCAAAGGGAATTTTTCGACACTCGACCTTGCCCTGTACGACTATCTCGAAGGAGAACGGACTCCCGCCAAGTACAACATCATGAACCGGTTCATGATTCATTGCGGTCTCAAATGGAAGAAGCTTTCGTCGGGTCCAATTGGGGGTCAAATTGGAGACGAAATGCAACCTTCGTCGCTCTTGAAGACGCTTCGGAATCTACTCGTCAAACTCCGTGAGCGCAACATTTTCTTTGAGATCAAGGAGTTCAAGGGTGTTGGGGAGTTTGGTGGTATCATTACGGACAAGATGCAGGAGGAGCAAAAGAAGGATTCCTCGTACGGTGCCGCACCCAACAAGAAGCGTGCTCCTGAAGAATATCTTCCTCTCTTGATGAAGGCGATTCAGTCTGGTTTGCTTGATCCGCTCAACAACATTGATGACTTGCTCATGGTGGTTGCTTTCTGCAATGGGTATTACGCTGCCTTCCGAGGTGGAGAAGATCACGTATTGCTGAATCATAGCGACATCAGCTTTCACTTCTTCGACAATACTTTCGGACCTGAGCTTGAAGGAACCGAATATGTCAAGATTGCCATTTTTGGTAAGAAGGCAAAGCGCTTGAGCATCAATAATCCAACCATCAAACCAAACCAGCGGACCGAGCTGTACATCCCCGCGGAATCAGAGATCAAAGGTTGGAATCCAGTCGAGTTTTACAAACTCATAGTCAAACACTCTCACCCTGAAGCAAAAGCATTCTATTCGCGGTACATCCTTAGCCAGGACAAACGCCAGAAAATCAGTGATGCCGTGACCCGGAAGCATGGTCTCTTGGATGGTGAACGACGTGAGGTCTGGTTCCAGCCCGGTGGTTTCAAGGAAGGAAATCACAATGTTGGTCCACGCAGTATCACCAAGTGGTTGAAGAATCTTGCCGAAAAGATTGGAGTTGACGACTTTGATGCCTGTACTGGCCATGCGTTGCGAGCTATGAACATCTCGTCAGGAATCTCTGGTGGTCTCAACGCAACTGAAGTGGCCAACATGGCTCGTCAGTCCAGCAAGACGGTTCAGGAACATTATGTCAATGAACTGACCAATGAGCGCGTCGGCAATCAGCTCAATGCAATCAAACTTGGAAAAGTCATGCAGCGACAAAATGTGAAGCATGTCCAAATGGAGGATTCCAAACCCGCTGCTCGCTCGTCTTCTACCGCTGTCAGCTCGAATAATGAAGTCGAACATCTCCGTGCGCTGTTGGCAGAGAAAGAGCGCCAATTGCAACAGCAGAAGCCTCTCGTTGTGGGACCACAGAATGGGGTTCCTCCTGTAGCCGCCGCTGGGCCTGATCATCAGTATCCCGAACCACAGCCGGCTCCACAGTATGCAGCATCTTCATATCCAGTTCAGCATGCCTACCCACCACTACAATATCATCCTCAGCCATATCAGTCCCGATACCCTGATCCGGATCCATACTTTGCCACTGGATATTCTTCATACGGTCAACAACCGACTGGTCCTCATCCACCGGATCAAGCTTGGTCGTACCGTGCCCCTCCAGCGAGGCCTCCACCGGATCATGGTTCTTGGTCATACCGTGGACCTTCAGCTGGTCCTCCACCGGATCAAGCTTGGTCGTACCGTGGCCCTCCAGCGAGGCCTCCACCGGATCATGCTTCTTGGTCATACCGTGGACCTCCAGCTGGTCCTCCACCGGATCAAGCTTGGTCGTATGGCGGGCCTCCACCTGGTCCTCCACCACCGGATCATGTTTCTTGGTCGTACCATGGGCATCCACCAGATCATCGTGGATATCTTCAAGGGCCTCCAAAGATTCCGCGTGTTCGTTCCCCAGTTCCTCCCTCAGTAGGGCATATGCCCCCACCGGATCATCATGGACATTCCCCGGTGCCTCATGGCAATATGCCCCCGCGTAATCATCATGGCCCCTTCTCAGGAAACGGCGGTTGGTAGGTAAAGGTCATTGTCGACTCTTTTTGGATTGGAGATTGAAGATTCCGAAAAGGAATAAGTTTGCTGTTTTGAAGTGCGTCCATCGAATTTTATGGAAGAAATGAACCGGAGTCTTCTCCAGTCGACATCTTTCTTTCGTGCATCCGATTCGGATTCATCCCCTTTGGAGTTGGTCCTCTCTTTACCTTCCGTTGGCTAACAACCCTGATAGCTAGCATAAAAGGTTGTTGTTCAAATTCTTTTACAACCATATAGCATAGCAATTGTTTCAGATATTGAACAATCTTGTTTTTGCTGAAAGATACGGTTTAGTCCATTTCAATCTTGCGAGTAAACAACATGGTCGCTGAAAGAAGCACACACTATGAAATTTTCTTAATACCGAAAAATGTGAGCGTTGACTAGTCATGCCGGTCGCAAAAGGTTCCGGATGCGAAAATGTGAGCGTTTACTAGTCATGCCGGCCCCGATTTTGGTTCCGGATTGGATCTAAAATTCTCAAGCAAGCATGACTCAAGTAGAAACTATACTAGGTCTACGCAATCTGCACCAATTCAGCGGAGTAGGGTTCCACGCAGAATCCCCTTTGTCAGACAGACACAACACGCCGGCCGGAGGGTACCGGTACGAACCTTGGGAGCCGAAGGCGTGTTTAAAGTGTGTCTCAGCTTTGTTTAATGATGAATCGAATCATTCAAGAAGTCGTGGTTGGTCCCGGTTTCACTCATGCTCCGTTCCGGACAGCAATCAGGTCCACACTCGACCCAAGCATCCCTCACTGAACCACCCTTTTAGAATCACAACTTACAAAACCAAAAGCACTCAAAAAGAGACAAGTAGAAAAGAAGACAATGACAACAAAGACTGCATTCGTGAATACACTCGACGAGGATCCAGAAGGAGCCCCCGTGGTGCAAGCTGTTCCCGTCCCAACCTATCCGGACGGTACCTATGAACGAGAAACTGGGAGTCGTAGACGTTCCTCTCCACACCAACAGCGAGGCAGCGGTTACCACGACACCGCCAGCAGCCGTGGTACCGCCACCTCCAGCGGCAAAGCAAGTAGTGCAACAGCAGAGCCAGAAGAATGACTGCTGTGCTATTGTTTGTGGCTCAGTGGCAATAACCGCCGGCCTAGTATGCCTGTGCTGCTGTGTACTGCCTGCAATTATCATTTTGGTCATTATGGGTTCAGTGGACTCCAACACGCTTGAGGACGTGATGTGGGACGACTATTACTAGGAAGAGCAGGAAAGAATGTAGACAATAAGAATTAGTAATTTTAAAAGCCAGAGATCATCTTTTGGATTCAATTCTGGTAGACAGCTGAGTAATTGATAGGCTGGGAGCGAATTCTTGATGCGCAGCGGTGATATAACATCGACGAATGCCTCGAAAGCCTGCTACTAACAGAGCCGACAGGTTACCAACAGTCTGAAACTCAGAAGGCTAGCCAAAGACTTCGGTGCCTACATGTACTGATACAGTACCTACCGGTACTACATGTAGTATGCTACCCGCCTTGCTGGCTGCGGTAGCCATCAAAATCATGTTGATTATTTCACTTTGGTTTCACGCTGAGTCTTTTGTTCTTCTGGTCCTCGAAGCATTAATGGTTGGTCTTCATTGCATTGTCTCGACGACGAAAGGTTAATAATGCGATGACTGCAAGCAAAAAGCCAGAAGGCTTTAGGGTTCTTTTTTCAGCTTTGCCAGTCCCTGTGCAGGATTAGCTCTGGATTCTGGAGCTCGCGGCATTTCGCGTCTTCCTCCCGGGGATCCACTCGACAGCAGACCCTTTTATTTCGCGCTTCGTCCCTCTCCCACCAGGAATTCGAGCAACCAAGTCCAAAAATCCCGCGCACCCATCATCAAGAGCCCGCGACGAGAACCAAAGTGGAGGAAACATGCTAAAATGAATCCTGGAGCAGGCAAAACAATAGATTTGACCCTTGGTGGCAGTGATGCTGATGAACGGAACAAAAGCAATCCGGATGGAGCAGCCAACGGCTCCAAAACAGAGACTCAAAAACCTACCATAAGGTCTACGATTAATCCGGCCACCTCCAACAACCAGCAGGGTGACCATGGCGACAATGGCGTGGTTCAGAGGGCTGAGGATCCAGCGATTCAGGCAAGTAAGGGTTCTTTTGTGGTGGGAGAGCCCTGCAAACGGAGCACCGAGGCTGCCGTTAGAATGAAACAAATTTACACAGCAGGCACCGGAGGCAACATCAGCATCGTCAATGACAAAAACAACAATTCGAACAGTCCTGTCCCCACACCGGCTCTTAGTGGACAGAAACGCACCCGAGACGAAGCCAATGCCGCCCATGTTCCGTTGGTCATTGTCGACGGAAAACAGGGAGATAATAGTGACACCCAGCGAGATAGTGGCGGGGCAGATAATAGCAAGGACAGCAGCGAGATGGAACCCGCCATGAAGAAGGACAAGGCGGTTTCCATGGAGAAGGACAAGGCGGTTTCCATGGAAAAGACCCAGATCGGTAGATGGGTTACTATGTTTGAACGGCTCATAGACTACAGGGAGAAAACCGGAGACTTTCTCGTTCCGAACCGATATGCAGCTGATCCGCAGTTGGGAGCTTGGGTTGCCACTCAGAGGAGGGAATACAAGCTCTTCAAGGCCGGGAAGACCAAAAACAAACTGACTCCTGACAGGGTGCAGAGACTTTCCGACATAGGGTTCGACTGGGAAGGAACCGACCCCCGCCACGCCCCATGGGATTACCGCTATAAGGAGCTCTGTGATTTCGTCGAAAAACATGGACACGCACAGGTACGTTGGGACGATTAGATTAGATCATTCGATGGGTTGAACTCCTTCCCCCATTGGCTCACTATTGGCACCGTTTGACTGTGCACAGGTCCCTGCTAGGTGTGTTTCAGTGTTTCCGTCCATTCAGAGGTGTCTGTTTCGTTTTGGATGTCACATGATTCCCAACTTCTCTAACCCACGCCTTCTTCTCCATCCCACTCTCCTCCCCATGGCTAGATGGAAGGTAAGATGGGGCATGGTGCGGGATCGTTGTTTAATCCATGACGTCGCGATCTGACAACGACTTACGCAATATCGTTGGCCATGCAGTCACTCAGTAACTGGATCAGCAAGCAACGGCATGATTATAAACTAAGACAAAAGGTGAGAGTGGAACAAAGCCGCATGTCTGCCCAATCCCAAAGCGAGATTGGACTCTTTGAAAACCTGACCGAGTTTCTGCTGCATGACTATCCTTACAGGGAGCTTCGCAACGCTTGTCTGACGAGCGAATGAGGAAGCTCGAGGCCATTGGTTTTCAATGGGACCCAAACAAACTCGTCGAGAGGCCGGAAGCTTTCGGAGACGAAAACAGTCCCAAGGAAATCATTGATAAGACAGAATTGAACAGCAAACCAGCGCCAGCGATGCCCGACGAACAAAGCGTGAATACTCAGCCCATTGCTCAGACAATCATCAAGCCCTCTGTCGCCGTCGCCGAGTTTAAAGAGCGAGCTGAGAGTAGAATGGGCCCGGCGAATGGAGCGGCCATTGAGCCTCCCGATTTTGAGATAGATCAAGGCTTCGGAGCTCCTGGCGCTGATCTTCCTGGTGTCTTTGGAGCGAAACAAGCAGTCATGAACGGGGTTAGCGATCTCAAAGCCATCCAAACCACGCTAACAGCCAGCGCTCTTGTGGCGGATCCCAATGAGCTCATGGAAGCGGCGAGTAGGAATCATTCCATGCTTCTGCGCATGGGATTGTTCCCCAATGGCGTTATCGGAAGTGCAACATACAGAGCAGTACCAGGCGGTTTGCTCACGCTGCCCGTTCCGGTAACGAATAATATTGCATTCATCCCTGTCTTGCAAAACGTAAGCGGGACCCAAGTGCAAGCTGCAAGCTCGGTTGCTAGAGGGAATGCTGGTCTCGCGAACTTGCCGCCGGCAGCAACGGCAACGCTTCCCAATGTCCCGGTGAAGGTAGCCGCTGGTATTCCAAGCGCGGGAACCGACATGGGCCCAAGGCATGGCGCAAATGCCGTCTTCGCAGTTGGAGCCCAGGCCAAGGTTTCAGTCATCCAGCCCAGTGATAGCTCCGACGTGCATGGGGAAGCAACCCAAAGCAAGGTTCCGCCAGCCTCCGATTCAAGGTCCCTGCGAGCTTCTTCAGTCAACGTTCTTGTGGAACGAGTGCCCGGCGGAGACTCGAATAACCGCAAAAACGATTCATGGGAAAGGAGCAACCAATTGAGAGAATCAATGGCTCCTGAAATCGAAGCTGAAGTAGATGCTATTTTGGCAGGCTCGCCGGGAAGCGACCTGCCAAGTCAGTCCGCGTCGGTCTCTTTTGCTGGGACCGGCGGCTTTGTTGAACGAGATGCGGTGGAAACCAAAGTCACGAGACAAGTTGACGCCTCTCTGGAGACACACCACGGCAGTTTTGAGTCAAGCGCAAGAGAATCCGCCGGTCCCAGCACACAACGCAAGGATACCGGTACCCGTGTCGAAACTCACGGTTCTCGTGTGTACGAGGAGGCACAGGCTTTGGTGGGGGGCACGAGGCTTCGACAGGAGCCCTCAGTCGAAGTTCACCGCGGTGGCTTTGAAGAAGAGTCCCGCCGATTGATGAGTGGGAACACAGAGCAAAATGACAATCCTCCCGAAGACTTCGACTACGGTGGGGAAGGCGGACAGCTGACGTCAACGGAAGAAAGTTCAGTATTGCCACATGTTCCTCTTGCTGACGATCTCCGTGAGCTCCGCGAACTAATCAAAATCGTCCAGCGCGGAGTAGAACCTGAGACCAGGAGACCACAGCATGATCCTCCTCCTTATGACAATCTGATCGAGAGTATTCGAAGTGGACGACGACGTCCCACAGACGAAGATGTCTTCCAACAAGGTCGCAGGGCGCGGCGCTCTGATCCTCCCGAAGGTTAAAGTAGTAATACCTTGGTCACCAAAATTCGTCACTAGCAGCGTACCAGTGTATCCAATACTTCTTGCTACAGGCACAACCCCCTCAAGTCTTGCGTCAATATGTGGACAACCCGGCGAGCTACCTTCGGTGCCTTCTTTTTAATTAATGTATTTTTATTAAAATCTTTTATTGGTGATCTAGCAAGTGTATTGTCTCTGTTTGTTTGTGGAACCCCGATTTTGTCATAAACGTCCTGGGAATACTTACATGCTCAAATAGCTCGACGTTTTGGTTGATCATTACTTCCTCCAAAGACGGATTTGTTCCACTCGATCAGATAAATATAAACGGCCGCGACTAGCTAGCTAGCCTAGTATCCACCGGAGGACTTGTTCTCCTCTTCCTTGGCTTGTTGGGCCATCCTTGCCTGCATATCTTTCATGATGTCTTGTCGTTTGACCTCCACTGCGGGGAAGGCACCAGTGGCCAAGGATTTCATTTTGGCCTCTTGCTCTTGTGGGTCTGTCAGCATTGGCCAGCATTGCGGATAGAAGGGTCCACTGGCTTTACAAACATCATCCAACGTTTTGCCAGAATTTTCCTTGTCCGCCAAAACAGCTGTTTCTACCGACAAGCCTCTCACAAGCTTTGCCGATCCGCGTTCGTATCTAACAGTGTAACGTTTGAGGGCACATTCCTGGTTGTCGTAGTGTTTCAAGCCTTCTTCGTTGATTTGGACCGAGCGATGAAAGAGCCATCGAGTGCAGAAAAGGCAATCTCCTTTTTGGTAGTCGTATTCAATTTTGGAGGACTCGATGCGTTCATTGAGTTCTGGATCCAAGGTGGACATGGAACATGTCTTACCGAATACTTGCTTGAACATGGGCCCGTCCACATCGACACCCTCAGGGGGGAAGATTTTGGTACTGCCAATAGTCTCATAGGCGTGTTGACGCCATTCGGCTGTGTGAGATTTCGGCGATATAGCCAATCCACCTCCATACTTGGCTGGCATGGAGTCCATGGAAATCCAAACATTGACACCATTCGATTGACTGTCCGTGGGCCAGAATCCACTGTCATCAACGTGCCATCCACAGAATCTTTGCTCCTTGCCTTTTGCGAGGAAGCAATCCTTCAAGAGGCGCAACGAAGCATCCTTATTATTGTCGTCACCCTGTTGATTGTAGAAAAGGACCCGGGCAATAAAGGCTGGAATGGTGGATCTCATTGCAACATCACGAAACGCCTGACCGCAGACAACGTCTTTCTCGCTTGCATCAGGAAACGAAAAGATCGGTCCAAATTTCAGAGAGGTAAAGGTACTGCCTAGTTTGACCAAGTCCGCCACCTTTTGTCCATCTTCACAGAGGCGTTCCAAAGGTTCCTCCTCTAAAAGTCCACGAATCAGGACAAAACCTTCTGCGTCAAATGTCGCTCGTATTTCTGACATTATCTTGTCAAAAGCCGCCTCGAATTCGCTCGAGTCATTCGACAACAATGCCTTCCTTTGATCTGCTGAGAGCGTGAAAATCATCTTGTCCTTGTCCACTACCGACTTCTCGGCTGAATTGGTGGCCATTGTTGCACTGGTTTCAGCAGTAGCCGGTGTCGTTGTTGCGGTCATGATGGGGAAATCTGGTTGGGTTCACTTGTGGTTTGATGTAGGGTATGGGAAAGTATGGGGAAAGTATAGGATGGAGACCAAGTTTGCTTCCTGCCGACGACTCTGAGGTGGAAACTGCAATGTGAGTACCGTACTGAGTACACGATAGCAAAAGACGTGCTGCTACCGTCGTACCACTAGCTAGCTAGCACTTCTATTGGGTATACGATAGCAGGACGTGTGCTCGCACTGTGGTAGTCTTTGCCACCTCTTCTTTTAGTAGTTTTGCGCTCTGATTCAGAAAATGGCTTCACTGAAATCTCAGAGAAAGATCGAGCCGTTGTTGATGGTTGATGTTGGCAACCATTCTGACGGCAGATGATGGCCAGCTGCTGGCACTCACTGTGGCTGCCGCAGTACATGTACCGGTAGCTTTCTCCGGGTTCCTGCAACCACAATCCTGAGGGGAAGATGCGCGAAGGGGAAGCTAACGGTATCCACAGACTAGCTATTTATTTCTAGTTAGCTGGTCAGTCAAGTCTCTTTTCTCATGAGCCTATTCACCGCCGGTGCCGCTTGTAGCACGTGTCATTGATTGATTCGATCCTCAGACTTGTAGTACAGTCGTACTGGTGCTGGATGGAACAACCATCAATCTTCAGAACATTCAGGTTTCGCTGTCCAACTTGCTACCGTACCTGGATGCAACGAGTGGCTTGATCACTCAGGCAGCAGCCAAAGACCAAGGAAATGGGACTTTCTGACTAAACAACTAGATACCCCCCCAGGAAGCAAAAGCTGTCCTCTCCTGGACCAACTCCTGGACAAACTCTGGGACTCCTCCTGGACAAACTCGAGGAGCGAGCTCGTGGTGGATCTATTAATACTTGTCAACCTCTCATGGCCCCAACCCCCGGTCCATCTCGAGACCCCGCTCCTGGACCTACACTATGGCGAACACGAGGACATTGCTTCTCCTGGGAATTACTGCTCCAGATCCCAGCCACTCTACTAGGCCCAACACGAAGTCCAGTGCAGCCCCAGCCACACCCGGATCTACCTCTGGACCCACATTCGGATTAACTCTAGATCCTGTAGTACTAGTACCAGGACCAGCACTACAGGTAGGTCCAATGGCATGCCCCACTCCCAGACTAGCTAGAGGACTCTTGCGCTCCTGGACCAATCTAGTGTTCGTGGCGTCGAGCAAGATCCCTTTCACATCGTGCCCATGTGCCCGGTTACCTAATTTGATTCACAAGCCAGCGCTGGCCCATGCATTTGTCATCGTGACAGGACCATTCGATGTCTACTAGCTAGGAACGGTTTCTCAAGCTAGATAGTACAGTAGCAACTACCTCTACGTATGGATACAGAGAAAAATTACACTACAGATTAGTCTTTTCTGACTCATCGAACATGTGACTGAATGACTCCATGTGCGCCTGAGAATCTTCAATATCTCCTCCTAAAGCAGAACTCAAACCTCCCACGGTCTCGTTTCCAATCGTTGCCACACTCATGTCCAACAATCCAGCCTTGGAGACATCATCACTCTTTCGTCGGCTACTAGCGGAACTGGTATGAGAAGCTCTCTTGTCCGAGATCTGCAGCGAACTGTCAAACATCGAACTCAAGTCACCAGCTACACCGACATCTTCGGCACCATCCAGTTCGCTGACGGTGAGACTCATAATGGACATGTGAGCGGATGAATTTCCCATCTTCTGCTTGTTTTTGTCCGTGCCGGTTCCATCCAGCAAACCATGTTCTATTGTATCCTCAAAGGCATTTCCGAGTTGCAGACTTTGTTCACTATTTTCACGCGGAAAGCCAGGTCGGCCTTTGCTGCTTCCATCCTTGAGCGATGATCTTTGTACGACGGGGTTGCTGCTGTTGCTATTGGGGGCCGCCATGCCTTGATTCTGTAATTGCTGTCGTTGTTGAAGCTGTTGTAGTTGCTGCGACTGCACCTGAAGCTGAGCCTGCGCCTGTAATTGCGCTTGTAGATTCGGATTGCCCGACATTTGACCGTACGGATTTCTGGCATTCAATGGCGTGGGATCAAGGGGTGTCGGTTCCAAGTCATCGTAATCATTATTTTGAAAGTTTGCGTAGGGATTGACACCCATTCCGCCCATGCCACCTCCACCCATTCCTCCTAACCCTCCGAGACTGCCTAGTCCACCAAGCTGACCTCCTCCTCCTAGATGCCTCGATAGAGACTGCTGCTGAAGCTTGAGTTGTTGTTGTTGTTTTTGCTGGAGCAACTGCTGCTGTTGTTGCTGTTGCTGCAATCGCTGGAGCTGACCAGAGTAGAGGCTTCCAGGGTGTCCTCCTCCTTGGGAGGCGCCAGACATCATTTGTAGTGATAGTTGCTGCTGCGGTGTTTGCATCCTCTGCTGTTGCTGCATCATGCTCAGAGCGGCATGCTGCGCCGCCAAGGGTTCATTCTTCAACTCTGGAGCTCCATAGCCTCCTAGTCCACCATCATTCATTCCATACAGGGCTGCCTTGTTGGGATCCTGATGTATGAAACAAGATAGTAAGTAAGATAAGAGTGACAAGGTCAGAGTGTGTTGTTGTTGTTGTTGTTGTTGTGGATAATCATGATGGTTGTTGAAGTGATCAAGTGGGAAAGAAAGAACAAATGCAAAAAGGGGGCGGATGAGATTCTGGGACTGCATCAAAACTGGGGGTGGCCCGGCTGGAAATACTACGTACATTCCCCCCACCTTCCGGGTCGCCTGTGAGTTCCTTCGAGATCTCAGGAGCACCCTCTCGCAGGGCTTGTCTCGTCTTATCCAATGCCTTCTTCTCTCCTATATCATGCCATAGCTTTGAGCTGGCATCTTGCTTTAGAAAACGACCTGGTGGATTCCGGGCTCTAATCTCGTCGACAATCAAACGGGAGAATTTGCCTTTCTGGGGTTTCGGGCAAGCCACATAAGCAACCTTGTGCTTTCGCACCAAAGCTCGAAAATGCTCATTTCCTGCATGATAGTTCACAAAGTTTCCTCTACCAGACAGCACATCGTGCTCATGAGGAGTGACAATATCATGTAAGGGGTATTTGCCTTGCTGCGACATCGTCGTGGGTTTGTTCAAGGCAGTTGAGTTTTCCTCCAGCAAGGAGAGAAGTGGTGTCGAAGCGGGTCGAAATCGATTGATTCGGCTGTCATTTGATTCGTTCGGCTGTGACTTTTTCGGAAACGCGCCAGCGGGCCATGGAAAAGCGAGGCAAAAGACAAAGTTGGAAAGTTGCTCAGGACGCACATAAGCCACTTAAAGGCCTGCCACGTTCTGGGACCGGACCTCGTCTCAACGGGAAGTTCCCGAAGGGCGGGAGGTGGCTTCTGGCACCGCCCATGGCCAGCATTCGTCCTTTGAGATCGAAAGCCTTTCCTACTAGTCTAGCCTAGCTAGCCAGAGCTAATAGTAGCTCTGGATAGAGAATGAAATAGCTAGTCTAGTACATGAACATGGCATATTTTCCAGCTAGTTGGAGTGCAGGCAACACATTCGAAAGAGGTGGCAAACACTAGTAATTTTTGCATGCCTCTGCAATGCCCTACACAACAGTCAACGCTAATCCCCTCGGCCCAAGCCTCTAATGATCCCAATACTTATGCATACAGTAGTTGGATAACAGGAGTAGCTACGGCAGTTGCATGTATGTGTTCTGACTCCCGTACCGGTGGTACCGGTAGCTTGGTGACGCACAGCCGAAATTTCAGGTGGCAAAACTTTTGGAGGCTCATACGTGGCTGGGCGAGTCCCGACCCTTCCGGCATTTCGCAAGGCCTTGAACAAATGGCGGGTGCCACAAATGTCATGACGAAGGACAACAGCTGAGCTCGGGCATGATAAAGAAGTAAAACGCATCAAGCCTCAAACAGTGAAGGAAGAAACGCCAACAAAGTGTGACCGTTTTCGGCTGTGGACTTCTTTGGTTTGAGAGAAGGCGCACAAGTTGTGCATTGGTACCGGTAGTTTTGTTTGGAAGTCACAACAACAATGGCCCCTTCTTCCGCCAACAATGCTTCTGGACTCCTGGTCTCGGCCGGCCTCTTTCTGACAACAGCATTGGCGTCTCAATGGTTGCAGCATCACATGAAGAAACAGCAGCAGCAGCAAGGTCAAGAAGAAGAGGAGATTAGTGACATTGACGATGAAAGCAGTCAAGAGCGGCTTCACAGACGAAAGCTTCAACGCCAGCGAATGAGACGACACAGAGAGCAGCAGCAAAAAAATCTTCATCACAGCCCACAACGACACATTCAATGGAAGAATCCTCATAAAGCAGATGACCACATCGGCGATGAGGAGAGGGATGAGGGCTATTTAGAAGACGACGAACCTATCAGCAGCGACGCCCGACCAGTTGATGTCGGCGCTGCTGTACCAGGGGACTACTACAAGCTACGGCGACTGGAGGATCGCTTGAGCTTTGAAAATTTGAGAGAACTAGAGCAAGCTGGAGGATCACCACCTCCTCAAGCGGATTTTGTCTATCCGCAACAGCAACAATCGACTTCCTTTTCCGAGAACAGCAACCATCAGCGCCCAACATTTGCTCCTCTTCCCGATTCTGCTTCCCCTCTTCGTAAAACAACCAAATTTCACCACCATCGACATCATCACCATCACCGAAGGCCCCGTCATCGTGAGTCTGCTGTTGATAGAGAGGATGATTATGATTTCCTGCCAAAAAACAGCAATTGGAGCCACTTCGAGAAGTACAATGAAGATGATGTGAAGAATGGTGTCGTGATCCCCGGGTCAGAGCGACACTCCCATCATTTTCAGCCTTTTTCCAGTGGATATGACCATGACGGGTACGCCTCCCATGAGACCTTGAACGACGAAAGTGACCCTACAAACACACACGAAATGAAAGAGACATCTCCCATGTTGGGAGAAGGATCTGAGTCGTCGGGCTCGTCCTCAGAAGAGCCTCAGTTTGTTTGGACGGAAGCGGTTCGAAGACCAAAGAGGGCCACCTCAGCTAGATCTGAACCCACTCCTGGGCCCGTGCCTGGGCGAGGCAACTCGGAGCGTGTTGTCACTAGCGGCAGCCAAACCACGTTGCAAATGGGAAACACTTCTCCCCCATCACCATCGGCAGTGCCACCTCCTCCTGGTTCCACTGGTACTGGGCTTAACCGTCAACGTTCGATATCGGCAGAGAGTGCTATCAGTGGCTGCAGCGAAATTTCTGCTACATCCAACGATAATGTTCCTCGCCACCATGCCAGTGGTGATGACATGGTGACCAGTAGTCATCGATCCGCGAGAGCTCAATATAATGCCAAGATTATGCCCAACAAGGTTGTCATGGTGCGACATGGGCAGAGCATGGGTAACGTCGATGAAGGGTTGTACTCGACAACGCCTGACAATGCCATGCCTTTGACCAAGCTAGGCTGGGAACAAGCGCGAAAGGCAGGTCAACACTTGAAAAACCATGTCCTGGGCAAATCGGAAACCGTTCACTTTATAGTCTCGCCCTATGCACGAACAGTGGAGACGTTTCATGGCATTGTATCGGCATGGTGCGATCCTGATTCCCCCGAGTTTGCCTCTATCCCTGATCGAGAAATGCGCCTCAAGGCGTGGTATGCTAAACTGATGGAACAGGGTCTGACATGGCATGAGGATCCGCGCATTCGGGAGCAAGATTTTGGGAACTATCAGGATCCTGACCTCATACGCAAAGCGAAGCGGGATCGACACCGCTTTGGAGTATTCTACTATCGTTTTGCACACGGAGAGTCGGCCTCGGACGTGTTCGATCGAGTCAGTACCTTCTTGGATAGTCTTTGGAGGAGCTTTGATATGGGACGAAGTCAGAACTACGTGCTGGTAAGCTGTCTGAAGCATTGGGATGCTCTATGTCATTGGATTGTGATGCTGAAACTCTGTTTCTTTCTTTTGTTGTTGTTGTTGTTGTCGCAGGTAACACATGGAATCTCCATTAGAGTCCTTCTGGCGCGATACTTTCGCTACACAATTCACCAGTTCAACATGCTGAGCAATCCACGGAACTGCGAAATGGTGGCTATGGGGCATGATGGACACGGTCGCCTTCGTCTTCAAGGTCGATACCAACTCCACTTGAAAGAACGCCCGGTCGCAAAGAACAATGACATCATGAGCAATGGTGAAAAGACCCAGGAACAGGAGAGCGACAAGGACAAGAAAAACGAAGGTGGTGCTGACCCTCCAGAGAGTGAGTGGGAGGTGGACGAGTACAAGTTCTACAAACGATTGCGCATCCTGCCCTGTGGAGCCATCAGAAAGGTCCCCATTCGAATCTCCTACAGCGACAGAGCAGAACTGTCCTAACTCCCCGAGTGCGCGGCACTGTTCTCATGTTGAGCAGAAATATTATAACCAACCTTTCAAATGCTAGAAGCAACGCAACCGAGGGCGCATCCAGCAAGCTAGCTGCCAAGAAACATATGCTAGTAGAGAAGGCAGCAAATTCAACCGCTACGATTGTTGACCAAAATGCTATACAAAACTGCCATAAACACATACTAGACAAGACATGTATGGTGCCCTCCTTATACATCACAAAGCCGCACATTCTTTTTTTGAAATTGGAGTTGAGTGTAGGGTACTCACGATTGGTTCAACCAATCGAGATCCTCTTTTTTCTTTTCGTACTCTTCCCACGCATCCGAGGTAATATCCCACAGCATTTTGCATACAAATGATTGATCTTCACTCAGGTCACGTGGTAACTTGTCTATGGGATGTGGAGAGGGGGTGTTAGAAGCATGTTGCCACCATGATGGGTGTGGTACACAATTAATTTTATCAACGTACCGGGATGAAGGAAGAAACGGAGCTTCTTCACTGCCTTGGCCAATTTGTTTTCGTCTGGACGGCCCTCTTCTGAGAGACTTTCCATAGATACAGTCTTCCACTTTTTGAAATAATCATGGCCGGGCACTCCCTTGGTTGGCGGGAAAACGGAGTGAATTGTCGTCAGCAAGACGTCGATTGTGCGCAGCATCTGCATATTAGGTGGTTGCAAAGCCCACTGAGTCAAGATGTGGTGTTTAAGGGCAGTGATAGATTCTGCACCGGAATCATCCATCTGCTTGGCCCACTTTTGGTTGACTTGTGAATTGCCGGCTGGTGGTGGACCTCCGGGTCTAGGTTGTGCCCCTGGCTGTGCGTGAGGGTGATGCCCTGGAGGCGGAGTTTGATGGCCTGGAAAGTGATGCGCATGCGCATGGGCCTGTTGCTGTTGTTGGTGCCATTGCTGCTGCTGCCATTGCTGGCGCTGCTGTTGTTGTTGCTGCTGATGCCATTGCTGCTGTTGCTGGGCATATGCCTGCTGCTGGGCATAGTATTGCTGTTGCCGACGTTGTTCCTCTTCCCATTTTTGTCGAGCTGCCTGCTGTGCTTGCTGCTGACGGAGAGCTTCTTGTTGACGTAGGTATTCTGCACGACGGCGTTGTTCCTCAGCGGCCTTTGCCTGTGCAGCCATTCGCTGTCGTTCGGCTTCGATTCTTTCTTCTGCTGCGAGTCTCGCCGCTGCTTCTTCGTCCATTTTCATCTGCCTGGCACGGGTCGCTGCTCGCTCCGACATGTCTTCATCAAAAGGATTTGCTGATTCCTCGGCGGGTGGCGTTGGTTTTTGTGCTGACGGCGGTGGAGGTGCCGTTGGGTGCGGGGTTGGTGTGGTTCGTCCGTTTTGTTGTTGCTGCTGCTGTTGAATTTTGGCCACGACAGCCTCCAACTCGCCACGCTCCATGCCAGCAGTATTCACGCCATGACCGTGGGCAATGGCTCGCAATTCCTTAACCGATATTTTAGTACGCCCTGCCTTGGGTTGGGTAGGAGGCTTTTGTTGCTGTGGTGGTGGCGGCTGTTGTTTCTGCGGTTGTTGTTGGGGCGGTGATTCTGCTTTCTTTTCATCTTCACCAGTGTAACCGGGATAGTGTTTAGTTCTCTTGCTGGCACCCTGTAGGTCCCCAGCCTTGGGAGGTGGCACTCCGTTCATAATTGCTTCGCGCGTCAGACGCAGTGTGGAAACCCAATTCTTTGCGGCGTCGGCCTGGTTTGGTGTACGAAACACAAATTCATCGCTGAGGTTGTAGACCTGAATAACAAACCGATGATCCGTAGAAAAATCAACATAGTTGACATCTTGCATTCCCTTGACGGGGATCTGATGCAGGGCTTCAAGACCCGATTGTCCAGTCGTTGGATTGACCGTTTCACGCTGCACCCAAAGAGTAGTTTCTTCTCCAGGTTTTCGCCCCGCCACTAAACTAACAAGGACTTCTTTCCACACAAATCTCATTTTGGAACGGCGCTGTTGTTCCAGCCAGCCATTGGCAATCAGAGTGGAATTTGGATTGACAGGACGCTGAAAGGGAGGTCTGTGTTGATTTGGCGCTGACGCTTGTGCAGCTGCGGATGTCGATGTTCTACCACCACTACCGTGTTCCTCCCATTCGTCGCCCAATTCCGAGCCAAGTTCATTTTTGACGCGCAGTGCATTCTTGGCCGATGTGGCCTTTTTGGCGGCTTCTGTTCGTGCCGTGTGGGCAATTTGAGTGACTTCTTCTCCAAAAACCTTGACATTCTTCTTGAGAGAATCAATAAAATTGACACTCTTTTCTTTGGACAGTGCGTGCTCATCTTGCCGTACCGGACGTGCAGCAGCCGTGGGTGCTGCCGAAGGTGCCGGAATATGCTTTGTCGTTGTGGTAGTAGTCACCTTGCGGGCGCTGGGTGCTTTTTGGGTACTCGCTGGTGGATCTGGAGCTACTGTTGCAACAGTCGGTTTGGCTGTTGGAGCTGGTGCTGTTTCCTCCGAGGGAGTGGGTGATACCGATGCTGCAGCAGAAGCAACAGAAGAATCCGAGACCTTGCCACCACCGTGAGCGGACACGTATTCTGTGAGTTCTCGAAACATTTTCTGAAAGGTCTTTTGCTCCATTTCATTTTGCTCCACCAATGCCGCACAGTCTCGAAGTAAATCCGCCAATTCAAACCGCTTTTGTCGGCTAAATGGCGCATCGCTATTGCCACCACCGCTACTGCGTCTTTCCGCTCGGTTGGGAACGGCTTGTTCTTCCGCCGCCATGGTTGTTGTTTTTTTTAATTTTGAAGGTTCAACGGCAGCGTGTAGTGTCACACCGTCGAAAACTACCAAATATAATAGATGCACTTGCTTGATACAGGAAAGTTAGTTGTCTTCTAGTAGCTAACTACTTTGAGCCCAGCAGGATACTGAACCAACCCCACCAATAAAGCAAGACTTGTTGCTGGCAGCGTATCCCAGTATGACCAGTGCATGCAGAGAGCGAAAGCAAGTAAGTGCTTTCGCCTCACCACGAGTAAAACAGCCAAAAGACGAAGTCTTGTCAAAGGGCGGGAAATAAGTCGAGAGCGTGACACTCCCAAATTATTCCGAATGTATTCGAGTAGTCGAATGATTCAATCGATCGAATCGATTTCGATTATCGACAGCGACGAAAGATCCAGCCTCACAGCCCACACGACAACGGCTGGCACATCTTCCAAGGACAAGCGTCGTTGTGGCAGACAAAAGACAACTCTAGCCAACCATAGCTAGCAACCACATCAGTCCATCCATCAATCAATCAATCAAGAACACAACCATGTCAGCAGCAGCCGCAGGACAACCCAAAGATGATGGTGGCAGCGCCACAGCCAAGAATAGCATGAACTTGGCCGATGCTCGATACACGTTCCAGCCAGAAGAATTGCAGAAACTCCGCACGGAAGCTCCCTGGATGAAGGATGCCAAGTACTTTCAAAAGGTTGCCATCAGTCCCTCTGCCATTATGAAAATGATGATGCACTGTCACTCGGGAGTGGAGAAAGGAATCTCCAAAGGAGGAAATCCCATCGAGGTCATGGGCATGCTGTTGGGGCGACCCGACCCAGACACGCCCCATACACTGGTCGTCAGCGATGCATTTCCCTTGCCCATTGAAGGGTTTGAAACTCGTGTCATTGCGGATGATGAAAATGTCGTAGTAAGTGGGCAAAAAAGGGCTGGGATTTTGACAAATGTATTCCGCATTTTTTATTCATTTCGTCTTGGAGGGTTGTAATTTGCATCTCACCAAATGTGTATATTTTCTTCTCTGTCAATACTGAAAGAATCACATGATTGCCCTTGGAGAATCCCTGGAACGGACACGAAAAGAAAAATTCATGGGATGGTATCATTCCCATCCGTTTGATCTGGCGGATCATGGTCATTGCTTTCTTTCCCAGACCGATTTGAGTACAGAGCTGCAGTGGCAACGAGCGGAAGATCCCCATGGGAATCCTTTTGTTGCCATTGTGGTGGATCCCTTGCGGTCATTTCATTTGCAAAAGCCCGAAATCAAGGCATTCCGGGCGTATCCTCCGGAATACAATTCACCCGTCGCCAATGAATGCCCAGATGGATCCATTCAACCCGTAGAGCAGCTACGATTGGAGCAGTGGGGGTCCTGCTGGAATCGATATTATGAGTTGGAAGTGGGTAAGTGCACAATAACGATCATATTTGTTTGGAGAGGCTGTTTCCTTCTAACCTTGGTGCGATTATTATTGATCGTCAATGAATTGCGAAAGAGTACTACATGAGCTCGACGTCTCGATCCATTTTGGAACAATTGACGCAAGATTATCTCTGGATGCGTACCTTGTGTAGTCAAAAGGCGCAGGAAGGTGAAACTGCTCAGAAACAAACCACTCAACGTTTGAAATCCATTCACAAATCGTTTCAAGCAGCTGCCACCAAAGCGGCAAATGCCAGCGGAGGAGCAGGTCCTCCAGGAGGATCTCGGGCATTTGGACGAGCACCCTTGGGTGGTCCTGGTGGTGCCGTAGCAACTGCAGGCTCGGCGGGTGGCAAGGCCGGTGATGGAGGCGGAGGCAACAGTGGCAAACCATCGGAATTGTCGAAGGCTGTCCAACAGCTGGTGGACTTGGCCGCAGAAGAATACCGAGAATCAGCCCTTCAGGATACCAAGAAATTTGTCTTTGGCAGTGAGTAAGAACGGAAAGTATGGAGAAAGGGAACCTTTTGAGCGCTAGGCGTTAGTTGTGACAGAATGGGGGAGGACGAAAGAGACGAAGAGAGACTCTGACACCATGCGAATGACGATAGGTGTGGAAATCACGAGAGACCGGCCAATGAAAGGTTTCATTCCAATCCACTTTGTTGTCGTGCTCATCTGGCCTGCCTGGGCCATCAATCAAACAAATAATGGAGCAGCTATAGTAGCCATCCTTCTTTCCTTGGGAAGTGCCCCTTAAAATTAGCTCGGGGTTCTAAGGTTCCGACGTTCCTGCTGCATCCAACGAACAGCTCTCCACTGCATGGGCAATCGAATTGGATACTGTACCGGTACGGTAGGCGCAAACCAGTGATCTCGTGTCAGGTTTGTCAATCCATCGATTCGCCTTGAGAATCCATCACAGACACCGTCGCGCTGGAACGAATGAGCAGGACCATAACGTTGTATCCGTAAAACAAGATACATCCAGCCGAGCCAAACGGTACGCGGCCAAGCTGTTCGATGACGCTTGGAACCTTGACCGTATTGAAGTGCTTAAGCCGCTGCTGATACCGTATTCCTCGAGGCTGCTGTGCTGCTACGGTAATACGACTGTACTAGCTACCTGGTACCGGTACCAGTTTTGTGGCTTGATGGTCGTCTGATACCGGCACCGGTACGCTGTAGTGCGGCTAAGCACTGTATCTAGTAGAAGCATCCAATAATGGACACAGCAACTGCTGCTTCAAGATTTTGAACAGTCGAGCATGGTCAAAGTGGTGTATCATCGTCGGCATTCATTCAAGTCGTTTATCATTTATCATATACATCATCACACTACTAGTTAGGCTCCCCTCTTTTGTTCTACCGGTACGTTTGATTTAGCCGTTTCGTTTCATGGTACGTAGTGGGGTGCTCCTACTAAGCAGTCTACCAATTCTCAACAGAAAGCAAGTATCGACGTATTGTATTGCACTGATGCCAATGTTTTGTCTTGCTTAGCTGAAGATATCATCGGTCAAGTCATCACTTCCACCCAGCAAATCATCCAGTGATGATTCCATATCAATAATGGTGTCTTCCACCGATAACTCGCCGTTCAACCCTTCGGCTGCCAGAGCATTAGTGGTAGCTGCTGCTGCATCTGTGGATGCCTTGGCGGCCAGTTTTTCTTCAAATGCCACCTTCTTGTTCTTTTTCTTGGCCTTGTCATCGGCCCTACGTTTTTCATTGACAGCCTTCAGCACTTCTGCCCGCGGAGACAAGATGACTGAAAGATTTCTTCCTTCTCGTTTTGGGCGTCCCTCCTTGGCGGCCAATTCGTCCAAGTCCTCGGCCAGCTTTTCCAGTAGGTCGAATCCAAGATTGTCGTGTTGGACTTCTCTCCCACGGAACATGACGGTACACTTGACGCGGTTTCCTTGGGCCAAAAATTTGAGTGCATTCTTCTTGCGAACACCGTAATCATGTACGTCAATCTTGTAGGACATTTTGACTTCCTTGATTTCGGTTGCCTTGGAGTTTTTCTTGAGTTCCTTGGCCTTTTTTTCTAGCATATACCGGTACTTGGAATAATCGACAATCTTGCAAACGGGGGGATCGGATTTGTCATTCACGAGGATCAGGTCCAGTCCACCCATATCTTTTGCTTTGGCCAAAGCTTCTGCGCGACTCATGATACCCAAAGAATCATCCTTTCCTTTGGGGTTGGGTGTGACCACTCTCAGCTCGGTGGCTTGGATTTCTTCGTTCATGGTGGGTTTTACTTCTTGGACTACATCACGGTTGCCACGTCCTCCTCTCCGTCCTCCTCCTCGTGCCATGAGGGTTGTGGGAGAAGAAGAAGTCACCAAGGGTGTAGTAGCAAGCGATCTTGGCGCCACCAGAGTGAAACCAGTGGCCACATTGGTCATTGCCGACACGGCCACAAGGGTAGAAACCGCCTGGAAGAGCTTCATGTTGTTTCTGCAGTCTGGATTGAAAAGATGACCTTGTCAACGCTAAAAGATGTAGATTGTTCCACTCTGGGCCGGCGAGTCTATAGATATCTCAACCCGATTGATTCCTTCTGTATTGCCGACTAACTATCTTAGCTTTCTAAAGAATGAATCAGCCTCGGATCCTTCTATGCATATCACTCCCAACCAAGGGTTTGTTAGTTGGACGTTGACACATCAGCTTTCGTGGCTCGGCGCCCCGTGGATGGAGGAGCGATGGGTGGCAAACAGATGGCAATGTGTGCGATCTTCCTTCTTTCTGACGTCATTCATTTCGGATGAGGGACAGATGAACCTGAACTTTGATGTGCTTCTTTTGTTGTCCAGTGGTGACCATGGATATTAAATAAAACTTGTTGAAAAGCATTAATCAACCATGACTCTTCAACTATCCTTTAATTAGCTCCTGCCCCGAGCAGGCTTACGGTCATTTGTGAAGGGTGGAAGTGAGCCTTGAGCTCTTCGGAAACAAAGTGGCGAACATTTGGTCAAACAGCCGGAGACGAAGCAGCAAGGTCAGCACACGACGAGACATCATCTATCTATTATCATACATCAACCCTCGATTGGAAGCAAACTAACACGAGCGCATTGAAACTGTGTGTTTGTGTGTTCTGTGGCTGCTAAAGCTTTCTCATCTAGAGTATCTTTGGCCGAGTAGATTCGTCGGACGACGCCAAATTCTTGGCCATTGCTCGAGCCAAGCGTCCTTTTTCTTCTTCCAAGTTCCACTGCATTCCCCTAGCATTTCCCCGGACTACTTCAATTTTGGCTGCTGTTATTGCGCAAGAGAGAGAGAGAGAGAGCGACAGTTTATTAGGCAATGCATATCCTTCACATGAGGATTTCGTCCGCAACAATGCTGCTACCGTTATTAGCAGTGTTGTGGATGCTGTCGGGTGTGACTGCCCAAACCACGTCGGCGACTCCGAGCATGAACTACCGATGGTTCTGTGACTTGACCTTGAACCCGGTGGTGACGTTGGAATGGGATTCCTCCACCAATGGCTATGTGGTCCAAAAGCCGCGCCACGGAGAGTACTATGGGTACAACGGCCAAATTGGCAGTAGTGGTCAAGGTGACGAAGATGGTGGGACCACAACAACGGGAACGCAAGATCCATGGACAAGGCGATTGATGAAGAGTCTATTACAGAGTGTTATAGGGAGCTCCGAAGAAGACGACGATGATGACGGAACTACTACCACTCCTCTTGCCGTTGGAATTCCATTGGCTGCCCCCAATCTTCGATCTCCCGCCTTGTTGCCTCAGTGGGACCACAACATGCCGGCTCTGGCAGTCAACAACAATAACAACAACACCAGCGACAGTCGCAAGCTGCGACTCATCCAAGATCGCCAACAGTCACCGGTGGTTGTGGAAAACAATATGTATCCCTTTGACGATTTCAATACATTGTCTCCCAACTCCGCCTTGACCGTACAAGCCCGTTCGTGTGATTGTTGGAACAGCATGGTCTGGGGAGGAGCCTTTTATTGTCCCACTCCACGAACTCATTGCGCCATTCCCAGTTCTCCCATTGGCGTGCCGGGATGTGTCGACATTCAAAAGCAACGGCGCATTGTACGTTCCATTTGGCCCGTCTTGGTCGTTTGGTATGCTTCGGTTCTCTTTTGTTTGTCCTTTACCATTACGGGTCGACATGCCATGAGCTGTTGTATTGCCACGGTATACCCCGCATGGAATCGACGAACGGCCGAACGACTCTTGCAGGATGATCCCAATCAGGCGAACCAAATGCTACTGAGGCATTACCGAATTATGCGAGCACGCTACGAACGACGACTCATGCGACGATTGCGGCGTCGGGCACAACGAGATCGACGACGAGCACGACGACGACGTCGGCAACAGGACGAGAATGGTGGAGACAACAACAATAGTGACGATAGCAGTGAGTCGGAACTGGAAGAGGAGCTGCCATTTCCCAATTTGTGGGATTTGGCCATCATCCCTCGACCCATCAGTACGTCGGCGCAGGATCCACAACCAGCAACGTTGGTGCTCAAAACGCGCATTTACAAACAAAAATCAAAGGATGACGAAGAAGAAAACGACAACCACCGCGCGCCGCCTCCAAGTAGCCAACCCAAAGTAGAACAATTTGTCGATGAGGCAATTGACGAAAGCAGTGCCGAGGAAGTCGCCTCCGGCAAGACTGAAGAAGAAGAAGAAGACAGTGACCTACAAGGCGAGGAAAGTGATGGCAACAACGACGAAAAGGAGACGCCAGAAATGGCGAACGATGATGCAGCACATGATTCTACATCCACCAATCTTGGTACTGATGCTCAAGGAGATACATCCGATGGGACGACCAAGAAAGCCGAGGAACAGGTAGAAGATGAAATCGTTGTCCAACCCGAACCCGAAAAGTCGTCTAGTGATGAAGGACCAGAAGAAGCGTCCAATAACCAGGGCAGCAGTGATGATGTTTTTGTCGAAGAAGAAGAACCAGCCGATCCTGTGGAGGAAAACAACACAGCGTCAGCACCTGTAGTTTGTGCACCTTGTGCGGACCATGATGTCTCCGAATGGGACGACGATAACACCTGCACTATTTGCTATGCATCACTAGAAGATGGTGATCGTGTGGGAGCGTTGCCCTGTGGACACGAATTTCACGTCGATCCGTGTTTGAAGCATTGGTTGACGCGAAGGAACGTGTGCCCACTTTGTCTTACCGAGAACATTGCCACGCCACGGTATGCCGATGGCTCTCCGGCGCCCTTGGCAGCCACCAACACTGACGACAGCAACACCAATGATGGAATGGGAGAGAATATGCCTCCGATCATTCTGAGCTTCAATCCTCCAGACAGCAGTAGCAGTGACCAGGACCGTTCCTCTTCGCAAGACGACGATGATTCATCCGGTATTCTGGACGACCCCAACCGAATCCCGGCCTTTGGCGGTCCCCGCACGGATCAACCTGTCAGACATCGGACAAGAGCCATGGCGGGTTTCACATCGTTATTCCGGCGAAGACGAACAGAGAACGATGATGCCAACAACTCTTCGCCGCCTAACGGTTCTGAACAAGCGCCTTAGTCACTTGGGCTCAACATACATGAAGAGTCTCTTCAAAGGTCGCAAGTTTTGCAACGTGGGGTTGCGTTCAGCTTGGAACACAGACTTCACAGATGGTCCAGTCCAGAGATGATGCAGTGGCAATCACTGATCCCTTGTTGTCATGCAATCACATACACATTTTTCAATAAAGTTGTACCTAGCTACATTTCTAAAGTTTTTCTGTACAGCCCCCGTGCTACCGAAATGGTCAATGATGTTTGGTAAGATCGACGCTGTGTCGTCTGGCTACAGCGGCCACTTCCTCCTCAGATGTGCGCAGCAACAGCAGCATAGATGCATGACTGTGGTGCTCGGTATGGGTTCCAGAGTTTGCTTACTGCAGGATTAGGAGTTGGACGTTGTGCATATTGCGGGTGGGACCATGTATCGGCATGTATTGTCACTAATAACTAAACTGAGTGTGGCTTAAGGTTCGCCACAAGGAGATGGAATAAGAGGGCGCATCAAAGGTTGGCCCCAGAGTGGGCCTTGGGGATGCTCCTACACAGGAAACACAACCGTAGACAAGACGGCATCACGCAAGAAACTAACCAGTATCCGTGGATAGAGTGGTCTAAACGACTGGAATGCGAGAAGGGCAAATATGAACTTAGGTTCTACACTACCGGTACCTGTGTGATATATCCTTTCGAATTGTCGTCTGCCGAAATGGTCGTCGTCAATCGCATACTAGAGCTCATACACCCAAAGGTATTTGAATCGAATCAATGCAAATGTTGTTGAAGTTCATTTGACGATAACCTTCATTGTGACCATGGGGTCCAAAATAGAGGGCTTGAGATTGTCTAATGTCAGGAGAGCCTCAATATTGCATGAACGATTGAATCATTCTCCAAGGACCACCATGCGCACAGGAGGCGTGAATTGTCATGTATGTGCGAGGGACGGGTCTTTCAACAAATAATACCGCGTTTTGTCGTTGTACTGTATCAACCCTCGGTTTCATCCGCCGGTACAAAGAACTGAGCTTGTTCCTCCAACGTGTGTGCCAGTGTCACCCACTCTGACTCTTCTTCTGCTGTTATAGTGGACTTCTCTTCTAGGATTTCACTGGCGTTCCCCTCTTCTGTAGCATCTTCAGATGATGTGGTGTCATTGGCGGCTGATTGAGAGAGTATTTCAGGGAAACTTTGACACAGCTGAAAACGAGAAAGCACCAAACAGAAACCAACGCGTTGTCAGCAACAGTGACAAATATATACAGAACTTTGACTCTCACTCGACTCTACATGTACCACACCCAACTCACTTCCCACACCAGAGACGCGTTCTCTTGCTGCGCTCGAATCACAGCAGGTGCAACTTTGGATCTTGTCTGGGCGATTTCTTCACAGTCGGCTGTAAGGTCCACAATGGCTCGTTCCAGGGCACAGATGCGACGAATCAACTTGACTGGATCGGGCACTGGCCGTTCTCTAACGGGGGAAAGAGGCGCGTGGAAATAAAATGAGACAACAGCATACATGTAATGGCATGGAAGAAGCATCATTGGCAGAGATTTTTCTTACCCCTCAGAAGTTTGAATCTCAGGTGCTTGGGCAAATTCTTTCTGCAACCGATGAGACGCATTCTGGATGATTTGAGCGGCTCTAGAGAGCTCTTCAGTCAGAGCTTTGGCCGGTTGGTCGGCCATGGTCGTTGCAGCTATTTTTGTCACGGAAATGACAACGATGAAGAAAAGTGTTGAGTTTGGTCGCGCACTTGCCTTTGTCAGTTCAAAACAGAGGCTCGGCTTGCTGTTTAGAAACTCGGTAACGGCCTCTGGCGCACCGCAACCTCCGCGGTCACATTTTTGTTCAGGTCCAAAACATTTCTTTGCTTACTTTTCTTTTGCACCATGATGAGACGAGATCGAGAGTTGACAATCGACACGAGCATTTCTCCCCAGAAAGATGGCGGTGGACTTGCATTCTTCATGACGGATCCAGAGCCGGTAGCGCCATCGAGATGGAGTGGTCGCCGAGGCCGAAGGCAGAGGAAGAAACATGGCGGGGGAAAGACAACTACACCCGACGAGAAAGGCTACCTTGGCGACTTTGAAGAGCCCCTTCGACGCCTCAGTTTTACGGATAAGGACCTGTTGGAAGTTATCGATGACCCTGAAGACTTTCGCTTGCTTCAGAGTGACCTCCGTAGGCAGGGAGCCGTGACGAATTCTCTGATAAAGGAAGGTATCCACTTTTATGTGCAAAACTGCTTGGTGGCTAAGAAACAGTCGGATTCCCCGACAACCATGATCACGCCAAAGTCTTCTACTTCCAGCAAGAAAAGTCGTCAGCGTGCATCCTCTTGGAGCAAGACTCCGCCAAGGAGCTAGCTCTCCTTCCAAGGATGATGCGTGCCACCGTCGCAAAAACCCCGTCAACAATCTGCAGTCCTTTTGTGTCCTACATCATGAAACTCTTTGATAATGGTATACTTCATTAGTGAGAGCCAATACACACAACTTAAAATAAAAGTCATTCAGTTTCCATAGAAAGTTAATGCTGTAATGTAGGTACCTGGTACTGTACAACATGTACCATGATACGATGAAGATGTTCCATACTTCCCAAGGAAAGAAGGTAGGCTCCTGTACACAGTTTAGTAGAAGGCGATCAGTTTACCATGCTTGACTTCCAACAAATAAATAGTTTCCCTGTTAAAAGGCGGAAACCATGTATGATGCGAACTCTGCTCTGCCAATCTGGTTGTACTTCATGCTGTTGGCTGTTTCCATCGGTCATCTACACTTTGTGAAGACCCCCCAGGAGAAAGCCAACCAGTTTTCCTGCCTCTCATGCAGCGTCTGGAGCGGCCAGGCTCCCTGTTCTGTTGCCGCTGTCACCATCAAGCCCAACCGTCTATGTTCCATTGCTTTTGGAAGCAGTGCGTCTTGTGGACAGTACGGTACCAATGTGTGGAAACGCTCACCCCAAAGAGAAGACGGGAGAAAAACAACACCTGCCATACATTCTTACTGTTGATGTTGATCCCCCAGTTGTGACTTCCCTGCAGCTTCAAGCATGAACCAAACAAGCTCATGTTTGACATCCTATGCTCTCTTGCAGGATGCTTACTCTGAGATGGTCAATGCTGGCATCAGATTCCATTCTCAGCCAGGAGCGATGGTGTTCGAGGATGCCAATGCTGACTTCTTGGCATCAGTGAAACATGAGTCATTGTGCTAGGTAGATCTCGATGACGTCTGTGCTGAATCAAATCCAGGTGTCAATCGTCTTTGCCAGATTACTGTCACAGTTATAGACAAGGTTGGAATGATGCCAAGGCAACATGTACTACCGTTGTGATTGGTTGCTGGCAGAGGCGCCTAATCCTCATCCCAGGTCCTGAAGGCAGCATTCATAGTGCAGCAATCACTGTATGTAACATGGAAGTCTAAAAGTCAAGGTTTGGAGTCAGTCTATATATTTGTGGAACCGGAGACGGAGATGCGATGCCCTAGTACAAGTAAGCAAAGTTTCGGACAAATTGACCTTGTTTGCTCCTTAGGTACCTCAACCAAGGGCCCCAATCTTTTCGGGGAGCATAGTCGAAAGGTGTGTGGCCTCTCTTGTCTTCTGTGACCCAAAACTCAGGTGGGACGGCCGTGATCAGTACATCCATCACGTCAGTGTGAACACTTCCAGTCCAGCAAGCGTCGTGAAGGACAGTTCTTCCGAAATCATCAGTTACGTCCACTTGCACCTTGGCTTCTTCGATGAGGAACTTGACAACTCGAGCGTCGCCTCTGCGGCATGCCATGTGCAACAGAGATTCACCGAATCGATTGCAGGCGTCAAACGACTTGCCAGCATTGTGGAGCTCTCTCATCTTGTCCAGGTCGCACATACGAACTGCTCGCGAGAGCTCCATGTCGTAAATGTCCGGTGGCGCCCTCATATCACCGAGGTTGGAACGAAGGGGCAGCATAATATGCGGGCATGACTTCATGAAGAGTGCTTTCAGGTAGAGAGATGGGCTGACGGCCAAGTCAGCATTGGTGATTGTCTTCTTTAAAGCCAAGCTCCTTTGTTGTTCACCTGCAAGGTTAGCAAGGAAATTGAGGGGGCTGCAACTAGCCGACTGATTTGATACAACACTGGTCATGATTTCTTGTTTCTTGTAGAGTGGATGTTTCTTGCAGTGCAGAATGCTTTTTTTATGACGAGACCTTGATGTTTTGCTTTTGAATTGAGTTGATGTTTGACTTGAGTCGAGTTGAGTCGAGTTGTCGAGTTGATGGTTGATGTTTCTCTGGCTCTCTGTTGAGGTGTCAATGATGACCACAGAAAGATACGTGGCGAAACAAAATGATTAGTTGCCGGTCTATTAGTCAGCAGTCAAAGCGATGAGCAAAGTAAGGGTCCTCTGTTTCTTGGCCAAGCATCCATGGCCGTGCAAGCAAGAAGGACATGAATTTGAGAATGTTTTTGTCCAAAAAATGCCACTCAAACAATCTGACGCATCACTGAAGTTCGGTTCTCCGGTCATTGTACTCTTTAAGGATTTAAAGATTTTATATATCAGGGGCATTCAATGCCACAGCTTCTTCTTGAGAATTAAGAAACACGCAAGTGAGTGTGCCGAATGACCTCAAGAACAGCTCAGAGTTTTGACGTCTGCTTCGCCTTTTGGCTGCTCACTTTTTGCTCCAAAACTGCGTCAGGTCCCACCAGTTTTCTTCGTTGACCTCAACGCAACCTCCTGTGGATAGTGAAGCAGACTACCAAACATTTTTGAATCGTTCTTCTGCGGTATTATTGGTACGGCAGTAACACGTGTTGAACAATCAGGGCTCATTTGAGCTCATAATATTATGTCTCGGAAACGGAAGCTTTCGCCTCCAGCGCAGAGAAACCATTGACAACATTACAACCCATGATGGTGTGCGTTGTACCACCGATGCCTTAGGTAGTATGTGATAGGTAATGGTCAGTGAGACAGTAGCTGTACCGGTACTGTTGATAATAATGTGTTCCTTGATCTGATCTGGTCCTCAAAGGTCCTCAACATTCATTCTACAGGTAATGTGAATATTGCAAGTTAGTTGTTCACTGGATGACTGCCCCATCCAAACAACCGGTGGTTTGATGGTTTACATCGTTCCTTGTGCAAGGATGCAACCACCACAGAAAGCTTCCTTGGGTTCTATGATGGAGTCCTGAGATCTGACCAAGGATGACGTGTTGGCTGCAATTCTCAAAATTCGTCATTGCTGGCTCAAAACATTCTATCATTAATTTTGGTGCTCATCTCCGACATCCCCTCCATGCGATGCACGCACGATTGCCACTGGCTCGTCAATGGTCCTTTTTAAATAGGATTTGTTCGAGTTGGCGCCATGTTACGGAGCCTGTAGCATGATATGGCCTGCGTCAGGAAACCAGCAAGAGATTCGATTCGTTAAAGTCTTGTTGGATTCGACTCGACTCGACTCGTGCGCTCCAGGTAGATGCGCACTCGAAAGACATGGACAGTGGTGTGTTGTCAGACTCAAAAGAAGTTTTAATGCAAAGACCTGGGGTCTGTGGGTAATTCCAATGCTTGACCTCGGTACCCGTACGCTGTACATCTTGTACTACTAGAGTTGTGTTTTAGCAAGCAAGTCATCCAGCTGCTACCTTCTGGTTTGGCGAAAAAAAGGTTCGTGATGCGAGTTTGTTTCGTTGCAAGCTCATCCGTCCAATTTTATATGCCGACCATGTACCCGAAAATTTAATTGAGTAATGCTGCTGCCAAATACGAGTAGAAGCAAGAGACAGATAAAAGTCGCGCCCTATTCCATCCACTTTGCCGGTCAAATGTTTAGGTTTTATCGAACTCGCTCAGTAAGGTACCCGTGTCGCATTTACCGGAGTGGGAGTTGGCATGGACTACGAGGATAAAAACATAACAAACACACCAACACTCCTTCAAAGTGTCACAGCGTTCAGAGCACCACAAGCAAAACTTAACAGCAGTACTTTACTCAAGCGCTATGGGAATGTCGAGTGGCTTAATAACACATACGTCATGTTGCGCCATCGCTGGCACAACCCCAGCACCAGGATTTTCCTCCAAGTGGTCCAATAGGTTTTCAAATTTGCAAGAGACAGATAAATTGCGCCTATTCCATTGACTTTGCCGTCCAAATTGTTGATGTGTTTATGGAACTCGATTATGGTATCGAAATTACCGGAGTGGGAGTTGGCACAGACCACGACGATGGGAAACATATATATCAAACACGGCAATACTCAGTCAAAGTGTCCAGAGCACAACAAAACAACACTTAACAGCAGTACTTTACTCTAGTGCTGTGGGAATGCCGAGTGCCTTAATAACGCATACATCACGTTGCGCCATCGCTGGAACAAAACCAGCACCAGGATTTTCCTCCAAGTGGTCAAGGAGATTTTCAAATTTGCCCAGGGAGCGAGATGGGCCATTCCCATCGACCTGGACACTCAATGTTCCACGTTCTTCTTGATCAGGACTCAGATCCAAGGTAAAGGTGATAGTATGCCCTTCTCCGAGATCGTGCTCGAAATCCGCAAAGGCGGTACCACCCTCGTGAACTCCTCGGCACCTGTCATTGACAGCCCAGCAGCCGTTTTGTTCGTCCAATGGAGTGTTGGATTTGAACGGAACCGCCGAGGAGGAAATCCCCAGCCAGGCAAATCCAATTTCGTCGGCATCGACGTGCGCAAATTCCAAGGCCCACTTGTACTTACCCGACGACATGGGAGGAAATTCCAGAGTGTCGGCTTTCCAAGATTGGTTGCTTTTGGCAGGCGAAGACATGTCTGACATGGTCTTGGACCACATGGGAGCGACACTAAAGCGTCTGCGTTCAAATTTGACGGGTTGTTGGCTAGCTGCCGCCAAGGCTTGATTTTTGTAGGCTTCCATCAATTGATCTGGCGTGACAAGACCAGAGGATGCCACATCGGTAGACAATACCGTTGGGGCAATATCATGGAGTTTAATTAGCTCGACCATGTCCATGGCATCATTTTTCCTTCCAGGGCCGGCTTCCATCCACTTTTGCAAAAACTGGAAAAGTTCTAGCTCGGTAGCTTCCATTTTCTTGTCCTCTAGAAGCTCTTTGGTGGTGGCTGAAGTGAGCGAAACCAAGGAAGAAGCTTTCAAACCTTCCATTGGTGAAGATCGTACGCGAGACAACAAGATTCCTCCCAGATTTGACGAAGTAGACGCAGCAGGCCCAGTATTCTTCCAGGCCTGGTATGCTCCATAACAGAGCGTTGGGAACTGATCCAAATAACTGGTCACGCAGTCTCCAATGGTTGCCGAAAGACCTGGTAGCTTGAATTCCGCAGCCGCCGTTTGGAGTCCAAACAGAGTGGGGATGAAATTGGGATCTGGTCCTGCAGCTGCCTTGGCCTTCCAATCCAGCACACTTGCGTTATCCGTGTAACAAAATTCGACGACGGCTTCCAAGACTGCTCCTGAAAGGTCAATCTTCACGGTAGCTTCTGACGAGTTTTCGCCAAGTAGCTTGGCCTGAAAGACCTCGCTTCGAGCTGCCAGAACCACGCGAGTTGCAGGGACCTTCACTCCATCGCTGCTCTCCAACGTGACATCCTTAAAGGCAGCCTCGGTCCAGCAGCGTTGGACAACGTTGGTCAGCGCATACAATTGGTTAGAATCCGTCATGGTCGGTGATAAAAAGAGCCCCTCGATTCTTTGAAGGGACTTTCGAATGGAGTACAGTCTCAAAGGACCATGAAGTTTCGCTGGGACAGACATATCTTGGTTGGGATTTATTGAGTATTGACGTACGAAGGTTGTCCAAGAGGGACAATTTCGATCTTCCAGTCGCGGATACGGACAAAAATTCAACTTGCCATCTTGCCATGCTCACAGCCAGGCACATGACCCGCGATGGCCGAAGGCTGAGTCTGAGTGTCAGATTCTCAGACTCCAAATCTTTAGGAACAATCAATTAATTGTACGAGCGGCTACAATAGTCCCACAGGCTGTGGTAGGGCTAAATTAAGGCGCTGCCCGGGTAGGTTCAGAGATCAGGCCGGTGTGGGTCCTCTGCATGTCTCAAGAATGGAGGTGGATCCATCATTGCTGTCTGGTTTGCTTTTAGCTAGCTACCTGTAGTTCGAAGGCAGCTCATTGGTGGAACCTGCCTTGCATTCGGAAAACCCAGCACAAAGTCGGTCTTTCCTCCAGACAAGTGCCAAGAAGAAGGCTGCTCATTCAGGCATTCGAGAGGAAGAACCCAACCTACCTTTCTCCACTGGGCTCTCTTTTGACAGATGATCCAACTGATCCCTGAGAGCCTATAGGTAGTTTTAGCCGGCTGCACTACCGGTACCATTATTGGGACAGGCTACTACAGTACCGTACCGGTACCGGCGCTGCCTTGGCTTCGTAGTGCAGGTTTGTTTTCTTAAAATGTAGGTTCTTCATTAGAGCTGAGGTTTGTGCCGGGGAGGGACGCCGACACGCGTGGATCGGACGAAACTCGGAATAAATCGGAAATCCGGCCCACCTCGCTGGAGACGTTCCTGTCACTTTTGCTCGAAGCTTTCGTGTTGTTGACCATGATGTCCTCCAAATCCTCCCGACGACTATTGTGGCTGTGTTATCTAGTTCTGCTGTGCTTGTGTCATGTAGTAGCACCGGCCGAAGCGGCGACCGTGAGAGGTAGCTCTTCGACGTACAACAACAATCAGCAGAAGCATAGTAGTACACCTACGGAGCAACAACAGCAACAGCGGAGAGCCATGGAGAATCGGCGCCGTCGATATCGCAATCATCCTCAAAACTACTATATGCAGCAAGAAGATCAGGAACAAAAAAGACGGAAACGAACACGACAAGCGGATGCAACGTTGTCTGATGTGTTTCTGTGTCTTTGTTTCTCCTTGGGGTGGGCCATGTTCTTTTTGAATTCCTTTCTCAACACGGATTTGATGCGATTCAGTGAGGGTGAATCGGTGGTGGTCCATGGCAATGTCCGGGAGGTCAGCATTGAAGACGATCAAGATGGGTCGGGAGTGCCGCAGTATTTTGCCATTATTGACTACTTTATCAACCGCGATGCGTCCCGCATTCAAGTGAGAAAAGCCTTTCAGACGCAGCATTTACTCCAGCAAGGATTTGCCAATGTCGAATTGCTAGTCTTGCCCGAAGAACCAACATCCTCGGTCTTGAAAGAGGATTGGGAGAGGGAGCTGGCGGCACAAGAGCAAGCGGAGGAAGACATTATCAGCATTGGAGGATTCGGTGACTTTGGAGATATTGGAGGATTTGGCGACATGGGAAGTACTGTCAATGGTGCGGGAGATATCACTCCGGGGGCATCGGAGAAAAATGGCAAACCAGCCATCATATTGTCGCGTGTGGATGTATTGGCCAAGCGAGCCTCACTGATCTTATCTGGGATCCTGGTAACAGCATCGTTGATTGGGGCAGTACAAGCGGTGCACAGGATACCGACCGAACCAATGCAAAGTATTGGCTGGGTATCTGTCACATTGGGATCGGTCTTGCTTTGGCCCCTGGCCATGTTTTGCTTGCGCATTGTATCCACGTGTCAACGCCTCTGGCGACTTCCCACGGAAAAGTCGGGCATTATCTTAAAGTGCGACACCAACGCACAAATTGGTGCCGCCATCAATGAAGACAAGATGACATATACACAATACGTAGGCGACAATCATGGAAACATTTCCGCTCGTCACGTCGATCGAGTCACGCATCCAGAATTGTTTGAAATGCTCAAGAATCACAACAAGCAACACGATGTGACGACAATCGGCAATCCACATGAAGCTGCGACACCCCGAAACAGCAATCACACTCTCCTCAACGCCAGTGCGGACGATTCCGCTTGCTACTTTGTCAAGTTACCAGGTCAAAAAGACCAGGCGGGGTCGGACATGGTACGGCTCGATGATTCCTCCATGTCCACAATATCTGCCAATTCGCAAGTGTCTCAGAGCAAGCGCATCTCCGAATCTACCACGTGATTATTGAGGACAACGGTACAGTACGGCAATTTAGTGACGGGGTACAAGTCAATAACGAGCGCCTATCTCGTGTCGTTATTTAGAGGTGCAGACAGGCTATAGCGCCGAGCTCAAAAACATAGCTCTGCTTATAAAAAGCTTACACTATCTTTCCCATTCTTCTGTTAGCGTCGTCTGCCTCTGCCTCTTGGGTTTTTTCGCTTAGGGGACAACAACTCTTGCACCGGTGCACGCTTCGGCAAAGGAGATTGTATTATCGGCCAAGGGCTTTGGTTCGGGGTAGCCAAACAATGTTGCGCACTCGCACACCACAGGCCGTCCGTTGGTACCACATTTGTACATGCCTTCACAAAGCGACCTGCGAATGTTGTGGCAGGCAAACAATTCGTTGTGCGGGGCTGTGCACTCAATCTGTTGAAGATTCTTGGTCGGATCGTCAACCATCGCCACGGGGTCACGATCTGGTTTGATGTTGAAGGTGTATCGTTCTAAATTCTCCACGGTGACATTTAGTCGATTCCTGGAAATCTTAGCATTGGGACCAGAAACTGCCACCGCTTGAAGCTCTGCTTGTGCGCCACTGATAATGGCTAGGCCGCCACCTGCAACAGAGCATGCAGCAAGACAAGAAAGTGAGGTCGAGTGGTCAATGGAGACAATTTTGCTTGTGCAAAACTATTCGTGTGTCTGCAGTGCTTACCCAGTGAGTGCCCTGTGAGCAAGACGGAGGAGAAGTTGCTCGAACTTGTGAGATGGTTGGCGAAATCGGTTGTGGACCTGTAGAATGACATCTTGTCGAGCGATCCTGACTGTAGAAAAGAAGATATTGTGACCATGTGATGCAAAATAGGATCAAATATGTAACCAAACGGGAGCACCGCTCTGACCAGCTGGAGCAACACTGCGGCCCCCCATAACTATGTTTGGATGGTAACGCAACCGATAAGTGAGCAACGTTCAAGCCTTTTGCTGATGAAAGTGGAACTTCTTACCTGACCGTCTGCAAACATGTCCCTGGACAGTGCAAGAGTTAGAATTTCATTAGCAACGAGAGTTTGCGTCTCCTCAAAGCTTTCCGTCAGTCGTGTTGCTCACCATGGATTATGGGTTCCCCGAATACTAATGATGGCGTGAGTTCGATTGCCAGGTAATGAAGCCGTGAACAGTTTGTAGAAAACTGGAGTGTTGTCTTGATTGGTTGCGCGGAAGGAGTCCACAATATCGACCCTTTCTTCGACAACTCCAGGGCCATACCACGAGCGAAGGTTGAACGCAGTTTCGTTAGGAGTTCGGTAGGCAAGCGCGGATAAGAACATGTAGTCAATCAAAGTCGATTGAGGGTTGCCTTCAATGTCCTTATCGAACTCGCAGGATGTGTAGTGGAGAGTCTTTTGTTCTTCGTAATAGAAGCCGCGACGAACGGTGAAATACTCTGTTTCGGTATTGTCCAAGGAAGTTCCCTGCGCTTGAATTCCGAGAAGAATAACTACCACGGCAAAGATTGCAAAAACGAATCGCCATGCATAATATGACTTGCCTCGGCTAACCGTTGCTGCGACCTGGCTCAAACGAGATTGGTTCTCCCATACTTTGATAGGATCGGAGCCCTCCTCTGGTGGGTTTACCATGCCTGTTTCTTGCAGCAGCAAAGAAGCATTGGTATGATGTCGGAGGAACCTGGGAAAGTTTGAACAGGGAATGAGTCGAGTCAGTGGTTGAAAGACAAATATCCAACAACTTCCCACGCCTACTTACATCCCAATGGCGATTGCAAGATAAAACGTTGCAAGCTGCCAACTCTCAATCAAATACAGCGAGATGGTCGGATAGATGACAAAAAGTAAAAGCGCCGAGAAGAAGATGAATCCGCTGAAAGCGGGGTAGGGCTTGTAATCCGATATCGTTCTGCCACAAAGAAGACACCCATAGAAATTTCGTCTTCTGTCTCGAAACCAGACCAGAGTAAGCCAAGACTTGTCCCAAAACCGACTGTGTTGTTGGAAGCATGAAATTCATCAATATTATCTTCGGAGATTCTGACGCTCCGATTTGGGGCCGAAACTTCAGGTTCGACGATATTCTTCTCGACATCTGGTACGCTGTCGATATTGTTAACGGGTGGTTCGCTGCCTACAGCTTTGTCATCATCAGTAGCCAAGACATGTTCAACCTCACTGTTGTTACTCTCAATTCCATCCATTTTGATCCTGCGGACCCGAATCGTACCGTGCTCGCTATTTAAAATAGAGAAAGGGAGCGCCTGTGAGCGTGAAGCGTCATTCTGAAACCAAGCACGGGTTCTTGCACTTACTAGGGCAAATCCACACTTCGTCTCCGATAGGTTCTGCGGGTGGCGGTTTGTGCGTATCTCCCGCGTTCGTATCTGCGTGCTCGGGCTCGTCTTCCTCTATCGTGCCGAGCCTTACAACCTGAGACTCTTTCACCATGGCCCTGTGTCGTCTCTTCAAGAGCCTCAATTTGCGAAGTTCATTGTATGACTTGATCGGCGCGAATATCAAAGGAAGGCTCACTATGGCCATAACCAGTAATACTGCCAATATGTTCATCGCGCTGCTGCCATTGTGAACCATCAAAGCTGCCAAAAGGAAATAAATCAAGGGGCTCCAATAAAGGAACACAATAGCGCTCTGAGTTTGTGACTTGTTCACCGCTCGGACCCTGAAGATGATTTCTGATGTATCGTCTTTCGAGGTCGGCAGAATAGCGTTCGTAGGTCCATGAATAGGAAGTGATATTAGGGCCGTCTAGCAGTGACTCGTCCACGGAATCAACCGTCGTCGGAGTCTCGAGCTTGTTGTAGAGTTTCTTCCAGCGCAGACCATTGTGAAAACTCGAGTAGATTCGTTGATTTTCAACCACGTTTCCTTCACAACCATCTTTGGCTTCTCCTCTGACAGGGAGCTATCTGTGCGACCCAAACGAGCCGTAGTTGGTGCGCGGAGTTAACCATCCAAGTGGCTTTCCCCTCATTTCTATGCATGCCCAAATCACCCCCAACAGACTGTCACGATTGCTGACCACACTTGATTCCAGGACAAAGTGGAAGAAAATCCGGGTCTCGTACCAAAGAACACTGATCAGGAAGAACAAGTAGAAGCAGAACACACAGAAGAACCAAACGAGCGATCCTAGCTCCCACCAGCGTTCAGTTCCGGACATGAGCAGGCCCCCAATGACACAAAGGGGAATAATCAACATTCCCAGCAAGAATATCCATTCAATCAATTCGTCTCTTTGACTGGGCGAGGACAAATTTCTTGAATAGTATATGTCCCTTCCAAAGATCCTGGACAAAGAGTCCAGCCAGCATATGGCAAGGCAAGCTATGAACCAGGACGGGGCATGGACAGAAAACACCAAGGGCGGAGGGCCGAAGAGCCTCCGAAGAGCCGTCAGCCGGCTTAATGGCAAGATCCAAAACCACCAAACATGATCACATGATGGAAAAGACGAACAGAAACCAGTGAAAACGCTCCCACAACGTATATGTTAAACCTCAGGGCAAGAGAGACCCTCCAGCCTCTTCGGACATTTGCTTGATGGTAACACGACGCTTCTTGATTTCCTTGTCATACTTTTCTTCCAAGACCAATTTGGAATTCCCATTGTAGATCACACGTGCCGCCGAGTTACTATCTTGAAACTTGACCACACTCGTTGGAGCTTGAAGAGAAAAGTGGTCTCGATATCTCGCGACGACGGGACCAACCGAGGACCCGCTGAAGATGGAGCTCCTCATAGATGATCGACCCCCCCTGCTCCGATGTGTCTTTGTACTTTGGTGGAACCTGACGGTTCCTT